CAGTTTATTTCAGACTTGTGTTGAAATAGGACTTGGCTTGATGCAGTTTCCTCTGAGAGACAATAACTAATATAGGGCATAATGATGGGGGTTTTTTTGTTTGGCTGTCTTTTTAAAATCTGTAGGATCCTAGGAATGCCTCTAACAGTCCTTTGATTTATAGTGTGTATTCTTTCAGTACGTAGGATGGATAGGTTAGGTTATATGCCCTGTGAATTGATATCTAGAGTATTCCATGGTGTGTAGATGATAAATTGTTTCTCGGATTCAGGTCTGTTCCTTAGGCGACTTGAAAAGGTATTGAGGAGAGAAAGAATGATCAGTGTTACCAGTAGGCTTGTGTTTGTTTGAGATGGGTCCGCACTTCCACTAGAAATTTGATTTTGTGATGTTTTTCAAGTGGAAGTTTTGTTCTGAATGCTTGTTTATACTAGGTTACTATCTGACCATTTTACACTAATTTAAGTTCTTATGAGTTATGCTGTATTTTTGATCCGGTTTTTACACATGTAAGATCCTCAGAAGACTAAGTGCAAAAAAACCTGCTTCTAAACACTGTATTACATTTAAAATATAAAATTTTAATAGATGGGGTGTTGTTCTGTGGCTTTACTGTGTGCACCATGCAGTGCCATTGACATCAGTATAATCCCCCAAGTTACATCAGAAACACACGTATAACTGCAGAATGTGGATCTTGAGATAAAATCTGAAAAATGCCCTTTATGGAACCAGTTTATCTACTTTCTTCCTTTCCCTCCAGTTAGTATGTAGATTACATATTTAAAATGCAAGCAGTTCCTAAACAGAGTTAAGTAGGTGGGAATGAACTAGGTGCTTTGTTTGACCTGAGGTTTCTGTCATGACCTGAACAGGGGTTACTTGTTTAGGCTTCAGGATCATGGAGGAACTGAACATTTGCAGAAGAAAATAACTAATTGTGTAGCTGGATTATTCAGAGTATCTCTTGGAAATAAATAGTAACAAATTAAGGGGAACTTCTAAGCCATGTATACACAGAATGAAGTCCCAGAAACCTAATTTATATTTTAAAATGTGCTTTTTAAAATACATGAAATCTATTAGAAGGTGCCGGCATTTGACTCGTTTATCTTTTGAATGAGAAAATGCTACCTTTTTTTAATTTTTTTTGCAACTCTCTGAAGTGTTTAGACTTAAATTCTTTTTTCAATAGGATGCATGCATTTTATAACTGTGGTAGGTGATGTTTTTATTAAAATGTTTCCAATAAATTAATTTTTGCACACATACCTTTCAGACTGAAAGGAAGCATATGCTGTGTGGCTTCAATGTATTGTTTTACTAGAGCCTTCCATGTGTGCTGCAGACTTGTAGCGGGAAGCAGATTTAAAGCAGCACAATTAAATACATGTGTGTCCTTATATACAGTTTTTTCTTCCTACATAAAATCCTGTAGGTCTAATTGTCTTCTGATGAGTATGTTCAACTTTAATCATACAATTCTCTAATCATAAAACAAACTGAGGTTTAAAAAAAAAAAAAAAAAATGTAGGCAAAGGAATAATGGAAGTTGAAGAATATCAGCTGACCTAATAGAGGACAGACCTGGAACTGCCAAAAGCATTATGTGCAGTTTGCCAGACCACCTGCTACTGAAGCACCTTCTATCCCTTTGTCAGCCTTGGCTCTGTGCAATAATTCTGAGAACTGAGGGAAGGAAGAGAGAGATGCTGGAAAAAATAGGCGTATGTAAGTTGCATGCACTACATTTCCCTACCATTGTAGGGAAAGCTTAAAGGTAGTAAAATAAACTTGAGCTGGAATAAAATAGAGAAGAATGAGGAACAGCATCTGTGAAAACACTGCAACAATGTACAAAAACAAGATGCTGATTTTAGGTAATTTCACAGTGGTGTAAACCAGCCTATATCCCTTACTAGTTTTGTTTCCAGCATATTGGTTCTTTCAGTTCATTACATGATCGTAGAAACACCCGTACTAGCATGGGAACTTGTACGTTTTAAAAAGAACTAGTAGTCTGTGGATAAGGGATATCTCATGGTTGCTTCAGATTGTATACAGCTTGTATAGTCAGTGCAGGAACAGAACTGCATGGCTGCAAGGAAGGAGAGGGGAAATGTCATCGCTTCCAGCTAGGGAAGGAGGAGCAAAGCGGCCTCCTTGGAGAACAGCTGTGGGTCAACTCTGAAATAGGAGGAGTGGCTCTTACAGAAAGAAATCACAGCAAGAAGCAAAGGAGAATGAATGAAAGAAAAAAAAAAAATAGTGTAAGAAGAAACACAGAATCAGAAAGGAGTGAGAAAAGTGAGTTAACTTCTCTTTCTGAAGTTATTTAGCCCTTATGTGTGAAGCTGGTTTAATAGAGTAGAGTAGCAAGGGTATGCTTGTTCTTTAAAGCAGTAATGCTGGTTTAAAAAAGATAATCTCCCTGGAAGGCTGCGCTTAAGTCCATCCAACCCATTATCCTGCTTGATCAGGAATTGTTCAAGTGAGAACTTGGGGAAATGCAGTATATGTAGAGAAGTCTTTCTCCTTATTTTCCATCTCAGCAGTTTTGGGAAGTGGCATTTTTCCATAATACAGTATTGAGGTAAAGATCTTCACAAAAGATTTCGCTCGTTCTGTATTGGAGATCAGATATTTTTGAAGTATTTATTTACTTCATGACAAGATAGCTGTACTTTAATATCTGACCAAATCTGGATGCTTGCTTGCTTGTCATTGTATGAAAGGCTTTGGACAGCACAGTACACAAAGTGTCTTCAAAACTGGGAAGCGCTTGTTACATTCTTTAAAGCAAATGCTGCAGTAAAACCCACAAGCTTTCCTCACCTTAATCATCTTCAGAAACGTTAGCACTGGAAGCAACAAAACAAGTTAACTAACCTTTTAAAGCTGTAATTGAAGCTGGAATTGTTTTGTGAACTTGTTACATCTCTCAAAAAATAATTAAATCATTTTCAAGTTTGTTAATTTTTAATCTGAAAGACAGTTACTGTAGACCTAACCTTGAGTTGTTTTGATAACACTGGTAAGGATGTCTATGGGCAAAGCTATTTTCATGTGTGTGGTTATTCAAGATACCCTCCTAGAAATCATTGTAATATTTAATTAAAATGTTAAAATATTTAATTACTGTAAACCACAGGGGATACCAATATTGTAATTGCATTTAAGATGAGGAAAAGAAGTAATTTGTTTTTCAAATCTTGCTGACTTTATTAGCAATGGCATCAGCACTTTATCCCTTTTTATTGTTTAAAAACTGATTACCTGAAGCATTACTGTAAAGCAGGATAATATAAGAGGTTAATATGCATTTTAATATATCAAGCTAACCCAGTGTGACAGTGTTGAAAAGAATGCCTTTAAACAAACTTAGGTTTCTTTTTCATACGTTGCTGCCTCAGTATTTGGAAGGGATTATTTCTTCTTGTTAAATGTGATTGGTTTGCTGTTTGTTCTGAGTACAGTTTGTGATGGGCAAAATGTTTCTTTTTGCATCGCAAGCTTAGTGGAAAGTTTAAAGTTTATTTTAAATAATCATGAAAGATACATGACTGATACTCTAAAACCTATTTGGGAATGTCATAAATTGATTTACGCTGTGAAGTTGGTCATATGGAAAAGTATACAATAATTGGGGAAAACTGCAACGCAGTATTTGATGGCTTTTATGCATATATGAGAATATTTGCTTTGGTTGTATTAGTGACTGTGCCATAAGCCATGCCACTGTCTGCTCAGTTTATGTAGTCAGGAAAACAACATTTATGTGTATCTATAGCTGGAGGGTGATACAATAATTAACTTGGAGTGATTATACTGGGAAATGAGCAGAAAGGAGGACAGATATCTTTTCTTCCAACAAGGCTGCCTTTTGTGGAGTGGGAGGGAACTGGTTGTTTTGGGTAGTTGGCAGGTAGTATCTTCTGCCATAGCTGATGTTTGCTTATGCTCACATGCATTCGGACAGGAGAGGTGGAAGGCAGGCTGTCACTGGTGTGTGTCTGTGTGTAAAAAAAAAAAAAAAAAAAGCTTTGGGAGGCCAATCTGCCTCTACTTCCTGCATTCTCTCCTAGCCAAGCTCACTTCCTTAGTAAGAAAAGAAGCCTAGGTACATCAGTTTGCCAAGGCTCAAGTTAGTCTTCTGAATTATTTTTGTTGCTTTTGAAAAAGGTTATTTGAAAATAAGATTTCAGAATGGTAAAAGAGGTCTTCCTGGTTTTATGCTTTTTTATGTTTATTTTGTGCAAAAACTCCTTTAAAAAAAAAAAAAAAAAAAAAAAAGCAATTGCTTTTTTTGTGTATTTCATTCTTTCTAGCAGTAGGATTTAAAAATGTGTCCAAGCTTAAACTACTAGATGGTTATTTTGTGACTAAAAAAACCTGTAAAATTATACCCGCTACATAAAGAAATGTTACAGTTGAAAATTGAACTAATTATTTTAGGATCTTTGTAAAGATGTATACAGATTTCATTCATGAGTTGTCTGCTCCTACTCACAAAGGTAGGCATTTACGTGCATCTATCTAGCTTCCAAGTCTGGCATTTTGCTATGAAGATAACCAGCATTTGCTAAGGTACCAGTTATTCTGGGGTCTCCTGTGATGTAATTAAATATGGATTTCTTTGTCTGTGTTTTCTCCAGATGCAGGGATTTAGTGTTCTTTTCTGCTCTGTAGCAAAGACAGTTAGTAAAGTAGTTTTGACTGTTGTTATTAAATTACACATTGAGTGAGCTCAGAATCATTAAAAGACATCAGCTTAAGCATAAGAGAAAATACAAATGCTGAAAGTGCAAATATAAACCCTGAGATAACTTCAGAAACACAAGAAATTTGGAAAACTACTGTTTTATCCAGTGAAGTTATGTAAATATCTTGCTTCACAGCTGGCATCCATGTGAGCGTTTCTTTAATATTTTGATACTTTGTGATGATGTTTGTACTGCTACAGCAAATTTACCTAGAAAAAATGTTTTCTCTGAAATCAGAAAGAACTCTGCAACATGATACTTGACTGCTGCGCTCAGCAAAGAACATATGAGAAATTCTTTGGGTTACTGGCAGGGGTGAGTCCTAATTTCAGATTTTACACTCGATGGTAGATAATTTCTTTTGGTTTACTCTTGTCAAACCAATTTTAATAGAGAAGTAAAACTAATAGTCTTTATTATACTGAAAATGATTATATTAATTGATTGAATTAGCATCTGGATTGTAACAAGCACAGTGAATGCCAAATGAGAACTCATTTTCTCCTTTTAATGCTTTTTGGCCTCCCATTTTTCCACTACAGTAGAGAAGTAAATGGGAGGCCAAGGCATTGATACTAAAAGAAGTTAAAAGTGTTGTGAGTTACTGGAAAGATCCTTTTCTTAATGCTAACAGTTGAGTTTAGAGACTCTTCTTTCAGCTGCTTAGTAGATTTTATTTATAAGACAAAGCAATAGTTGCTGTCCTGGTTTTCCCTGTTTTGTTGTCTTTCAGTAAACATTTAGCATCTTGGGTCTTTGGTGTCGTTTTCATTTTTCTCAAAATAACTACAAATGTAGTCATGGTTAATTGCCTAAGCTCTTCCTATCTCTTACATTGGCAGAGCTGACTCGCTAAGTCAAATAGAGTAAGCAGTTCTGATGAAAGGAAGTGTTTACTTCCATTTGTAGGTTGTTTTTTTTTTAATTCAGTATTTGAGGAAATATTTCTGCTGATATTGTTATGAAGCACCAGCCATTTGAATGTGGATGTTAAAAAGCTGTAGGATATAACTGTTAATTTCTTTTTAATTTTTAATTTAAAAAAATAATTTAATTTTTAATTTAATTTTTAATTTAATTTTTAAAAATTAATTTAATTTTTAAATTTTTTTAGTGTTGATTGCAGTGTTTATGTCCAAAGTGTCTTGCCTCTCACTGTGTTCCCTGCTGCCTCTCTGGTCTTAAATACCCTCTCAGTGACATCATGAAAAAAGTTGTATTTGAGGGGTTACGCCCAGTGAGAATACTGGATGTATAGAAGTAAAATAAATTGCTGAATCATTTGCTGTAGGTCAAAATTATTAATTACTACTTTGCAATGCAGATGAGTTCCATGCTCTGACAAACTGCTGGAAGCAATCAATTGTATCTGTTTGGAGATGTTTTCTCTAAGTATCAGTTTTTAACAGAAGGTCTTGTGATAAATATTAGCAGCATTACATTTATACTGCATAAGTCATTTATGCATATGTTATTTGCATGTTAAATATTTTGCTTAATCTGGTTGTTTAAATTGTAAAATACTGTTTCAGCGTTTCTGCATGTTAAAGAAAGAATATATGGAATCCTTTGAAGCTATTTTCAAGGAACAGTATGATACCATTCATCGTTTGGAAACAAACAAATTAAGGAATGTTGCCAAGATGTTTGCTCATCTGCTGTACACTGATTCCATTCCCTGGAGTGTGAGTAGAACTGGCTATTGTCAAAGGTTTTTTATTTAATTATTAATCTGTAGTAATTCAGAAATTAGTAATAAATTGGTTTTAGTATTCATTCAATGTTTTGGAACTATTGGCACTTGTAGCAAACAGAATTATTTTAAATGTATTCTGAGATACACCATTGAACATCCTGTCCTGTTTCTGTCTCCCACAGTTCTTCATTAGTGGCTCTGAGCTGTTATTTTACAGAGCTGAGCTGGAATTGGTTGATTAAAATGTACACTTTTTTAGCTAATCAGCAGTGTAATTAGCTGTCTCTCAAAAAGTAAATGTAAAGAAATCATCTAAAATTAACTTCATACAGAAAATTTTCAAGCTTTTTATATGAAACTTTAGAAATAATTACAATTCTCTTTTCCTACACTTTTATTCTTGTTCGATAATGTAATCTAATTGACATTCTTCAGGCACACACAAATTAATCCAAATATCTCACCTCTTTAGAACACCCATTTCAAATCTTTAACTTTCCAGGAGTTCTCACACCTGTTTTTCTTCCACTGACTTTTCTTGGACAGGATAAACCCTGAAACAATTGCTAGTTTAAAAATGGTCAGAAATTTCTTGTTAGAACGGACCTTTCAAGGAAGAAAAGGTCTTGACTGAGAATTAGTGTGCATTGGTGAACAAAAATAAATAAATAGTCTTTACTTGTTTTTTCAGGAGGCCAAAGGGTTTTAGGCTAACTTTGAACATACTTTCTTTCATTTGTATGTTTTTTTCCTAAACATTTTCAGGTTCTGGAGTGTATAATACTGAGTGAAGAAACAACCACGTCCTCCAGTAGGATTTTTGTCAAAATATTCTTTCAGGAGCTTAGTGAATATATGGGACTTCCAAATTTAAATGCACGACTAAAGGACATGTAAGTTGAAGTTTTATTTTGAAAACAGTACGTTGAATTAATTCATCAGAAAGAGTACAGATAAAACCTCTGTTTTCAAATTCAACTACATCGGTGGTTTTATAGCTGCAATTTTCAAGAATAAGTTAACGTATAACTTTACTCATTAGAGACTTAGAGTCCCTTTAAATTGAATGCTACCATTGACAAGTTCAGCCATGTGCAAGAGTATTTATTTGAAAGCTATATATATATATTTTTTTTTTCCAAAGACAGTACAACTTGTATAAGAATGTGTCAAGTGCCAGTCTGTTAATTTCATTGTTTTGTCAGCAGTAATGAAAGTTGCTGTGGCTGTTTGTTCTGACAAAGTTTAGAAGAAAAGGACCTGATTCTAGTTTTTCTAGGGTTAGTTGCTTGTCCTTGAGTACCATGTCAATAACATTATTTTAAGCGTTTGTGGTTTTTTAATACATTGCGTTCTGGCAGCGTTCATCTTGGTTGCTAGAGCTGCTTCCCATTAGTTGGGTTGACTGTTTAACAAGTCCTTCATGGTCATCAAGTAATATCCTTTCACTAGCTGCTGTGTTTTCACACGTCTGCTCAGGGCTTTGCAAAATCAGGCTCCTCAAACTGTCAGGTTATGACAGTGCATTATTAGACTCTCAGAAGTATTTTGTTAATATACATCACAGATATAAACAAGGAAAGTGTTGAAAAATGCATGAAGAGAATTTTCACTGTGCTATGTAATATAGTTCCTTTTTAAGTCTATTAATGTCAGTGAGAATTAGTGCTAAACTGGCATACTGATTATTTTAGATGTTTGTTTTCAACAGAACATTGCAGCCTTTCTTTGAGGGATTACTGCCTCGGGATAACCCAAGAAACACTCGCTTTGCCATCAATTTCTTCACTTCTATTGGCCTTGGAGGACTTACGTGAGGAACATTTTTGTTTGATTTAATATTTGCTTTCCTTCCCTGCCTCTCAGTTTAGGAGGTGGGAGAGGGAAGCGGCTTCTTTTTTTTTTTTTTGATGATATTGTCGTTGTTCCTTAGAGATGAATTACGGGAGCATCTGAAAAATGCACCGAAGATGATAATGACTCAGAAACAAGATGTTGAGTCATCAGATTCATCTTCATCTTCGGGAACAGACTCTTCTTCAGATTCTGATTCTGACAGCAGTAGCAGTAGCTCAGAGTCATCCAGCAGCAGTGACTCTTCATCTAGCAGTAGCGACAGCAGTGACTCAGGTATTCAAGCACTGGCTATAACTATTTTTTTACCTCTTGTTTACTTCCATGCTTCTGTTTACTGTTATTGCTACAAACTAGCTCTAGACAGTGTTGCTGTGGTTTATAAATATATTTTTTTTAAATTGCATGTTTTTAAAATACTTCTTTTTGCTCATATAAACTTCTTTCAGAAAACAGAAGATCTTAGTCCTGTTTTTAGAGATTTAAATACTTGAGGAACACTGTTTTATAGAAGAGTTTCTTACACAGTTGATACTTGTTGCATAGAGCTGTCTTTTCAATCTAGTGGAGAACGGAGGGGCCAGTATTAATATCTCTATGGGATGCTTAGTGGGGAACTCTGGTACTAACATCTGATTCTTTTTTCAACTGCTTAGTTGAGTGAGCTTGATGCTTCTAGTATCCTCTTCTGTAAATATGTACCCTTTTGTGGATCAGACACAACATTGGTCAGTTCTAGCAATGAGTTTTGTTTTATTCTATTTCTTATTCTTCATTTGTAATTCTTCCTTTGGAAGACTTTCTGTGTTGATACAGTGAGGGTTCTTGCCTTAAGGGAAATCTTCAAGGATGAATCAGCTTTTGCTGATAACTTAGTATTATGTAGTTTCATGTTGTAATATTTATTTGTCGTAAACATTGCTTAATCTGTGAAGTACTTGCTAGCATGAATTACTGTGTACAGTCTCTCCTATAACATGAGCAGATGATAACACAGCATGACTTTCTGTAGTTCAGAACCTTGTTGATTCAAAATTAATTTGATTTATTATGTGACTCAGAAATGAAAATGCAGATTAATAAAATAAAAGCAGTGTGAACTGCTTGTGTCTGGAAATGCATTTCTGTCCTCTTGCAATGTTCCTCTATGAAATCTGATTTGCATTTCATCCTAAAGCTATCGCATTAATGACAGCAAAGCACTAGAGGAGGGCGCAGTCAAATAGGGTCAAAGAAGGCGTTAGTTCAGCAAAGAGCCAGATGGTTCCTGCGTAGACAGCTGCAGCTCTGCTGAGCTGCTTGATAGGAACCAGAGAGGTAAGTCCTTAGTGACAAACCAACTGAGTCTGCAGTCTGATAGTGTGAGCACTTGATTTTTGTAGTCTTAGGACCCTCTCTTTTACTATTTGTCCTTCCTTCATCAAGGCATACAGTCATTAAACTTGTATTTTTATATCTTAGTAGCCCAGTTTCGCTTCTTCTCTGATTTTTGTGTACTTAAATGTCATGTATGGGATACTAATTTGAGATAACTATGCACTTATGAATGTGGGTCAGGCTTGCTACAAAATGAAGGTATTTTACTGGTTATAGCTTGATTTTTAAAAAGCTGCAAACAGAGGGAAGGCTTCTTTACCTTGGTAGCATTGGGGGAAAAAAAGAAAAGCTTACTGTTCTAAAATGTAGCCAAAGTGATCTGTCATTGCATGTAATCAGAGTGCCAGCAAGCCTTAGTTCAGACAGATTAGCCAGCTTCTGTAGGACTCAGATATTTGATGTACTATTAAATCAATTTATGGCTACAGTATTTTCATAAGGTGGTTAGAAACAGTTAAATATGTGATACTGTAGCTCCATTGTTAACTGTAAATGACTGCAACTTTAGTGTTCACTGTTTGCTTATAATGCTTTGTCACATCTGCTGAGAGAAATCTCCAAATTGTTGATAAAGAGCAAACAGGAAGAGTAAAGTCTTCCTCTGAGATAAATACTGTTGCACATTCAGAAATACAGATGTTGGTTCATATGGAGGCTGTTTCTGAGGTAGTTATACATTATTTTCAAAAGCCAAGATTTATTAGACAAAAAAATATTTTCTGTAAATTAAAAGCAAATATTTACTGGTTTAAAACAGCTACACTGCCTTTGCTTTGCTTTCACTCAGTACCTGTGGCATAACTAAAATATCTGTATATTTATGTATTTTTAAGGACCACTGCGCTTTTATCAAAACATCCTCTTCTTAAACTTGTTAACTTTATATTGTTCTTTAGCATTCATGATGATTTCACTTTTCACTTGAAACAAGTATGTAGGCCCAGTTTAAACTGGGGACTTCTTAAAGCTCTGTAGATGTTAATGTAATGTTATTTCCTGTGGTTCCTAGAGTCAGTAGTCTATGGCCTTTCTTAGGGTTCTGAAGCTGATCTTAAATTGTTGAGAAGCTAGCACTATCATTCCTGGAAACAAACCAGAGTCATTGTTATGTTGCTGCAGTACCACAAAGTTTCCGAAGCTGTTTCATCTGGCTTTTCTTTCTCAGGACAGTGTTAAGAGTTTTTTCCCTCTCTGCTGTTTTTAAATTCCTTGCCTGATAAGCTCTTCCAGAAAGTAATTGGTGAAGTAAACAATTTGAAGATAATGGATGGTCTGGAAAAGGTGACCTTTTGGAAAGAAATTTTCTGAGTTTTGATGTATGGCTTTACATCCTGTGCCTGGTCCTTCTATATCAAGTCAGTAAAAAGATGATGATGTGTAGAGGCTCTCAGAATTCAGGCATTACTTCCGGATAGGTAAAGGATAAAAACCCTGCAGGTGTCAAAGCTACAAATGAGTAGAAGAGGGGGGACGCTTGATTGTTGGAGTTTTGTCAGTATGTAGCACTTAAAATCTGAAGGCATGTCTTTCACGACCAACATGTTATGTCAGATTCCTGTTTAGCATGTTACTCTTTTGGTATGAGTTACTTCGTTTATATGACTGGTTAGTAATGTTTTCCTTTCAAGTGCAGGTTTGTTTGTATGTTCTGTAAGTTGAGGAAGAAGTTTGGTTTTGATGTTTGTTAGAGCTAAAGTGGTATGATGTCATGTTCTTGATAACTGTGTAGTCATGGTAAATAGGATGAAGTGTGGAAGATTATTCCATGAGGTCATATTTTCTTGTTTTTATTGTTTTGGATGTGGCGTAGCCTTGCCTGTTGTTCACGTGAGGTTTGTGGGTTTGTAACAGTGCAGATGCTGACAAATGCTGAAGCTTAGAGGAATAATGTAGCTCTGGGCTTCTTAGCTTGCACTTCAAGGGAGAACTTTTCGTATTAAAATATGAGGCCTATAATACAGCCAGACACTTAAAAATAGTCAGAACCTGCTCAGTTAAAAGAATGGGTGGATTTTATCCCATTGCATGAAATCCTTGGTTGAGGGGAGGGATACAAGCAAAGCTGATATTTTTGTAACCTCTGGCCAGATACATAACAAAAGTTGGAATGTTTTTCCATAGAAGTATTTCTTTATAACTCTTGGTGTACTTTAATAGATCAAATAGTTGATTAAAATAGAACCTTATTCCCATAATTTGTTGTAATTTCAGATGCTTCCAAAGCTAAAAGAAGGAGAACACAAAAGAAAAACAGAGAGTCTGAAAAAGCTTCCCGGAAAAAACAAGAAAGGAAAAGAAAATCGCTTGAGAAGAAAGTGGGAAGGAGGCGGCAAGAGGACAAAAGTGATAGTGAGAGCAAGTCAGAAAGGAATCACCGAAACATGAGAGAAGCACACAGGAGGGATGACACATCAAAATATCAGTACAGAGATGAGTCTAATGGCAGAGACGATTACGAAGCACATAGGAGAGATGACATATCAAAATACCATCACAGGGATGAGTCTAATGGCAGAGATGATTACCATAGTGGAAGAGATAGGAACTATGAGAGAAGTAAGGATCTAGAAAATAAACACAGCAATTCAAAACTGAAGAAAGCAGAAAGAAGAGCTTCTTTTTCTGATGATGAAAGTTATAGGCATGGGAGCAGAGATAATGGACATCGGAGTAGAAAAAGAGAAAGATCTAGGTCTGGAGAGAGATCCTATAACAAGTCAAGTCCAAGGGAGGAAGAAGAAGACCACCGATATAGAAATGGCTCAGAAAGACTTAGAGAGAAGTACAACCATTCCTCTGACCAGTACAGGGAATCCAGAAAATATGAGGATAGACGAGGGGAGAATTCCCCACACAGACGAAAATAATACCTAAACAGTTTGAAATAAATGGGCGTTTCTGAGCTGTTGAAACTGTGTTTTAAAAGACGACTAAACTTTCTTTAAAAAAGATTTTGTACAAAGTGGTAGTTTGCATTTGTAAATTTTATCAGACTTTTTCAAATTTTCAGTACTGCTTTTTTTATAACTGTTGCTTTAAGTCTTTCTGTTAAATTCATCCTCTGGGAAGATGAAGTTGTTTATTTTGTGAATAAAACAGTTAAGATCTCAGTGAAATGGGTGTTTCTGTCACTTAATTACAAGTATTCATAACTTTATAGTATAAAACCATTGGATTTTAACTTTGGCTAATTACAGATCAAAGATACTGAAGCTAACGTAAGAATCTCAGATTATACTATAGATGATGCATGGGAAGGCTTTTTAAAAGGAATTACATCAGCATGAGCACTACATGCATTCTATAGTTACATATTCTTCCATCTTCATAAATGTGGAAGTAAGTTTGACCAAAATTTTTCAGGAAAACCTTTGTTTATTTTTTCAAGAGTTAAAAATTGGAAACGCAGTTTTGTTATTTTAAATGTCACTTTTGAAAGTGTGTCAACTTGTTCTGTGTTACTTTTCACAATGTTTTTTAATGTTATAACATCCTAAGCTTGTGATCTACACTTGTGATCTTACAGAGAGGAAGAAATGTTTTTGACTGAATCTGATTTAAAGTCATGTGTAGACTTCAGGTGTAGTTCTGAGGGAAATGTTTAAGGAATGTCCTTACTGCTATACTTTAAAAAAAAAAAAAGTGAAACAAAAGATTTCGAATCTTCTTCGCTTTGAATTGTGTGGCTCAAAATGCTCAAGCTTACTGGAAGCAAAGTTTTACCAAAAACAAAAAAACCCCAGCAATTGAAGATATAGAAGTAGTTCTACCTAAGAGTAATTTGAAGCACTAGCTCAACATTCATTGTTTGACTTATAAATCAGAATCGTGGTTAAGATTAAATAAAAAAGACAAGTACAGAAAGTCTTTTGACATGAAATAGTAACATGGCCATGGTCAGTAGAAAAGGCAGGAATGACAGCAATGTGTAACTCAACTCTTAGTGCCATAAAACCGTATTTTTCACTTTGCAAAATGAACATAATTTCTGGGCACATGAAAATATGCAGATTTCATTTATGCATTGTATTTCATTGCATGTAGAACGTTATAAAAATGCATTTGAGCTGTTTTGTAACAGAAAACAGAGCAATTCCTAAGGAACTAGACTAGTTTGGGGTAAATCTTGTCACAACATTTTTCTAAGAAAAATTATGCTTTGTATTTCTGTTCTGTGTTTAACAGAATTTATTTCTGCTTGTTTTCTTGCACTTAAATGTTTTCAAAGATACTAACAGAGAAAATAAAGACATACTGCAGAGAAAGATGAAAATTTAGTGGCACCATGAGGAATGTCTTATTTAAATTGTGATGTGGTTTTATTTCTGTTCCCACTTCTCATTTTCCAAGGGAATCATGCATTTTTGATAGCATTCTTTAATTCCTAGAAAAGTTAATTTGAAGTAATTCTTTTTAGAAAGATTAGTGCTAGTAATTATTGTCTGTTTCTTAGTTGTCTACTAACAGTATTAAAAATTACCTGTATTTCGTAATTGTTGTATTGTACAAGCTTAGCTAATTTATCAAGAGTAACCCTTTCTTTACTGTATTGTAGGTTTAATAGCATCAATTTTATGAAACTGTAGCTTTTGAGATATTCTGTACAAATTAAAAGGCTTGTTAATTACATCTGTAATAAATGGAGATGCCTTAAAACAAAGCATCGTTTGCTTAAAACAAACAAATTCATTTGATCTGAAACTGCTGATCAAGAAATGCCAACGTAAACAGCACCTCCAAATTGTTGTGTCGCTTTATACTAGCTAATAGAAATATTGTGCTCTCCAAGGGCAGGGAAAGGGAGAGAAGTGAGACTAGGACTTGAGCTGAGGTCTCGGCTGTGTGTACGGTTTCTTGGTGATTTTTATTCCCAGAAAGATTAACAGATGCTTAATAGAATGAACTATTAATAATAGACCTGATTTTTACGATAACTGCCGGCAGCCGTTCAGCGTTAGCAAAGCAGTAACAGTCAGCAGTACTTGTAACACATGGCTGGAAGCAGGTGGGTGCCCAGAAGCAGGGCTGCTCTGCAGCAGACCAGGAGTGTCCCCAGCCCTGACCTTGGTCAGCACACGGAGCAAGTTCCCAGTTATTAGCAGGCTCGCTGCTTCCTGAGCTGGAGGCTCTGTGTGCATCCCAACAAGTCCTCACCCCAAATTGGCCTCATTCTTTAATGCTTTAGCAGGGAGAACTGCAGCACCCTGTAACAGGAATTCCAGTATTTACCTGTACAGTATGTGTGAAAGTAGGTCTCTTTCATAGCTTCTGCTTGATCACATTTGTTTGATACCTTCTGATTTCTTCTATGAATAGCACTGTGCAATTGATTGCCATTTTGTTTGTGATTTTACAGACCTAATTCTGTATATTGTTCTTTCTTTTTCAGTAGTTTAAAATTTATCTGGTTAATCTCTCTCCTTTTGAGACTGCTCCATAGTCACGATCATTTTTCCTGATATTTATTTGTTTGTTTGTTTATTTATTTTAATTCTGTGTAGTATTCAAGATAAGGTGTTTTGGAAGTTGAGTAGTGATACAATAGCTTTGTTTTTTTGAGTGTAGGAGTGATCTCGTTTGATTTCAGTCTGTCCTCTCAACTGCTGCGGAGTTGAATGATCCACTGTGGTGCTGGGGTTTCTTTAGCTAGCTGTAGCTATAGCATATGCACAGCAGTGAATAAACTTGTGCCTGTAGCTGGTGCTGGAGCACTATATTGTGTTTTGAGCAGCAGTTCTGGCTGAAAGACTTCAACAACAGATCCTGTTGTATTCTTAACTCTTGTGCTCAGTTGTAATTTCTTGTTAGAAGCAGGATTGATTTAGCCTATCCATAGCTTTCTGTGAGTGCGTCTGGTTATGGCTGTGCTATCAGCAGTCACCCAACGCCAGCACAGTGCCTGCTGGGCTGCCTGGGTAATGTGTGCAGAGCTGCTTCAGTCCTGCTGAGCTGCAGGGGAGGTCAAAGCACTTCTCACCCAGGGGAAGATGTTTTGTCAAAATATTTAGACAGTCTCATTATGTAAACTGCCACAGTACCATCTCTTAGTATGAGAGCAGTCAGATAAATTTAGGGCTAAAACCGTCTACTCACTTAGTTAATAGCCATTTAAAAAATATTTTAACTGTAGTTACTGAAATGACTTTAATTGATATTTAAGAATATTGTATCTTCAAACTGTATATAGTTCATTGCAGGCCTGCATGGAAATGTGAATTTGACTTCAGAAACATTTGTCTTATGGCATTGCTCATGTTAAGTTCCCAAATAGATTGCATGCATATTGAACATTAGATTTCATTCTGAAAATTACTCATACTATTAATTAGATTTAGATGGTACATTATTTTTACTTATGAGTACACTGTTAAATTACTGCAGCTTTAATGATGTGTCAACCTAACACAATAAGTGAGCTAGAGTGGGTTGGTTTTTAAGCCCAATTTAAGAGCCTCTACATCTTAGAGTTTGCACCTTTTGATGACTATAAAGATGCTAGTTGATCTTCATTGATTGTTCTTAAACAGCTTTGAATTGGGAATGAGTAAGGAAATGTGACCACCAGAAGGCTCATTGTCTTGGATAATCTAAAAAAGCAAGAATCTATTTTGTTGGCAAAGAGAATTGACTCCAGGTACTTAAACAACACACACACAACACAGACACTTGTCCTTCAATGTATTTTCAATTAGAGAAACTAGTATTTTTTTAAAAGGCTTTCTTAGTTAGTCAACATGTATATATACATTTTAAAGAAATCATGAAGTCAAAATGCAAAATTGGGGAGTATTTTAGTTAAGAATGAATGACACATGTATTTTCCAGGTTAAAAGTGGCACGGGCAAAATATATTGGAAAAACAAGGGCACTTGAGAGGTCCTTTGCTTTTTATATTTAGTTTTCTCTTGTGTGTTTTCCTACAGCCAGTCTATAATTTGGCTGTTAGTGGAGTCAGGGATTTTCTTTTCTTGTCTATTCCTTATGACTATCATCAAGCATTTTCTTCTTTAACAACAAAAAGGGGAGGAAGATGACAAATTAGAAACTTACAGTGTCCTGGTAAACTATTTCGTTAAGTCCTAAACACAGAAGTCCATTGAGGGGAAAAAAAAAATATAACCTGCCACATACTGATGCTATTTTTAAAGTTTGTTCCTGGTATGTTCTCTTTTTTTCCATTATGGTGTATAACAATGCTTGCACTGACTCTGGTTTCGGATCCTGCAGACAGCCTGCTTGTTCTCAACCCAGTTGGATGTGGGATGTTCACCCCACAGGGGCCATGGCTGAGCATGAAGGCAACGGTCTGTCCAGTGTCACAGGGGGTCTTGACCACAGAGTGGATATATCCATGCAGCCTGCTCTCTGCCAGCTTGGGTGAGGACACAGTTGTGAGAACTTGGCTGGTGGGTTCTAGCCTGCCTTCCAACTGGGAGCTTTCTGGATATTCTGCATCTTGTTTGGCAGGCGTGCAGACAAACTGAGGGGCTTTGTGGGAAGAAGGAGTGCTGAAGTAAGGACTACTTCAAGTGGGACCTGTGCTTTAATGACTGCTTCCTTCGTTCATCCTTCATGCATCACCCTTCGTGCATCCAAAAGGCTGGATGTCAGATCTGCAGGCAAACGTGCTCTGAGGAGATTCAGGTTCAACATTCTGTTGCTGCACATGGTGCTGTGAGACACAGCAGTGCTTAAGAAATCGGAGTTGATCAATAATTGGAATGAGAAACTGAAAGTTAACAACTATTCCCCCAACAACAGTTGGGGAAAAAATGCCCCTTTGCAGCTTTGTTGCTTCCTGCAACAAAACCTTCTTCTCTTCCCCACACCAGAAAGACCTTTGTTCTACCTCTTTGTGGAAGAGATGTGGTGACCAGCCTGGTTTGATCCCTGTTCCATTTGAAATGGCAACTCTTTGAGATGCCATCCAGAAGCTCCACACAGCCCACTGTTTGCTCCTCCATTGGTGTGACTGTGGCTATGGAAGAAAGTGCAATGATCGGTCAGAAGCTGCGCCTGCTGCAGGGAAGGCTGTGGTCATGGTATTCCTCGAGCTAAATCTAGCCCTGTGCACACCCAGTTGGTTTACTTCATTTTTGTAGAGCAATTATTTCCTCTCAATTCATTTTTAGCGCTCTGTTTGCAGAGAGGCAGACGCACTGGAAAACTGTTCTGGTTTTGTGCATATGCATGAATGCACACACCTGCATACAAAGCCTTCTATTTTCATTCCCTCTACAAGAGACTAAGATTAGTTTCTCGTAAAGTTAAGACAGGTCAAAGCAATAAATTTCAGCTATTTATGCTCTGTGGAATAATCTTCATTACTATATTGTCTGAATAGCTCCCAAATAGTTTGCTTTTTTTCCACCTATACCCTGTTAAACAGTACAAAATATTGATATTCTTAATGTTACAAAGTCTAAAAAAGAAAAAGCATTAGTTGCATTTTGATGCATTAGTTAATGATTTGTAGTGATGTATAGTGCAGTGTAATGCTGCAAAAGTGGAAAATTGTGTGTTTTTATAATGATAGGCAATTCCAAAGATGATACTACAGATATCAGCATTGTTGGTGTGCATTTTGGTGTCACATTCTGATATTTTATATATATACAATTATACTTTCCTTTCCAGGATTATTTAAGTCTCAGCTCAACCAGAGCAGCCAGGAGGAGGCCAGCGGGTGGTGGTCCTGTGGTCTGTGAGCTGGGGTAAAGCACCGCCTGCTCTCAGTGCTCAGAGCTCCAGGCATTCCTCACCGTGGGTGCGTGTATAATCAAAAGCTTTTTTCATTTCACAGCATTTATGGGAAGGCTTTATTTCCATAATTACAGTTTTACTGTAGTTTATGAAGAAAATGCAGCGTGAAGACCAATCATTTTGATGATCTGCGGATCAGTTGAAGGAGAGCAAGTTTCAAGGTTAGCTGCACGGCAGCTGTCATCAGTCTGTGAAATTACCATTTTGAATGACAAGCTTAATTTGCACTTGAACCCTAGCATTGGCTTTCACTCCATCTTCTTCCTAATGACTTCGGGCTCCTAGTTCTGTTAAAACCATTATACTTTTTGTTTTACAGAAAGGGATTAAAGGGGAAAGGTAGGATGGCTTCCATTTCCAAAAGGCTCCTTTATTTTTTTATGGGGGCGTGCTACACACCAATTAAAAATTATGAATTGGGTGTGAAATCTTCATTATCAGTTAACACTGATGCCACAAATCTTGCAGACAGCAACAACTGGGCATCTCACTTGTTGGGACCATACCACTTCCTTCCAGAACGGTGGTGTATTTTCAGTGTTACTTGTTGCTTTTCCTTGGAGCAATCTGCATGCTTGTTGTTGCTAGTCACTGTGCTGTTGGCGAGAGACATTCATTGTTCTGGGACTGTTTCACTGTTAATCTTTTGCCGTACAGAATGCTGAGCACATCTTTATGTGTTTCACATTCTAGCAGCATGTTTGGAAGCCATGCTTCATCTCTTTCCTCCCAAATGATTAGTTTCTTCAAGAAGATTTTAGTTTTGTTAGGAATTGGTTAGTTCATCTGCTGCTGGGCTTGTTGAAGCCTTCTCTAAAGTCTAGATTAATGATATTATTATTTGCAGGTCCCCTCCTATATCTTCTGGAGATTCTTACAGCTTAATTACAGATGAAA